GAATCGCGGGAGGTTTCGATTGTGTGCAGTTTTGCTCCCGTCTACCCGGGGATCTTTGCAGCTGTTTACCAGCAGAACACCGCAACATGGTAAAGGATCATCACAATGGCGTCCTCAAATAATATTTGCATGCCTCAGACATTGCATTCACCTTTACTGGAAGAACAGCACTGCACACTCATGTGCTCCTTGTTTTCATGTTTAGTATTTATTTTGGTAAAATGAGTATTTTGTTTTGTTTTTGTTAAAATAAGGGGGAAAAAAGACAACTACTGTTTAACAAAGTTAAAGTAAAAATGTCTTATTTCCCTAAAAGGGCTATTTCTATTATTAAGCAGGCACAACTTAACAAAATAAAAGAGTTCCTGTGCCTCAACACAATACCTCTCATTATTTGCTGTGTACTGGCATATAGCCCTGTTCCCCATGACCGCCTGCATGGGACCGGACCTTGGTCTTATTTAAAAAAAAAAAAAAAAAAGTGGACCTACAGCATTTCTAGTTGAGGACCACTGCTGTACACTGATCACCAACATCCATCTGTTTCCATTTCCCACCTGTAATATTAAGAAATGCAATGCGGTGTTTTTATTTTCTGCTTCAGGTTGACGAAAGTGAGGGTAAGGGGAGTGTCTTGGACAGGGATCCAGAGGTCCAGGCCATCATGGAGATGACGGGCAAGAAATTACATAGCCAGGGTCTCAGGGAGCCGGATGAGGACCAGAAGCACTAAAGGTCACCCTGCTGTCACTTTGTCTGGGCCCATGGAAGATCTGATGGGGATGCAAATCAGAAATTTGCCATCATCTACAGTATTTTAAGCGACTTTTAAACAGTGATTTTACGTCTTCCCAGCCTGTTATTGTAATTCATGACATTGTGTTGTACACCAGTTAATCAAAGACTGACATTGTATCTTGTATGTACAATCTAAATACAGTCATACAAACAAACTTCCAATCGCATTTCTCACAGAGGACACTTTTATGTCTGATTAACATGCCAAAAACGTTTCACTGTATGTATGAGATGTATAGTATTTATTGTATTGGATCGTCCCTTAAATTGAGAGGAAAAAAAAAACCCAGACATGAATCTCCACCTACACACAGACTTCTTCCAATCAGCAGGCGTCTAGTTTTCTAATTAACGAGTCCAAACGTTTGACTCTGTTGCTGCTTTCGAGGCAGGTGGGAAGTCAGAAATATCCCCCTCGGATTGTCCCAGTTCCAACTTTAAAGCGTTCGAGGCCACTGACAACAACAAAGATGGCTGATTCTAAAACTACATCGGAAGGCACATCGAATCCGAGACCTTTGTAATCTGAGGCGAACCACCGTGCCGCCCCAAACCTTCATTATTTCCGTAATTTATAAAAATAAAAGAAGATTGTATCTTCAAAGCATTTAATTCATTTCACCGAATGTGAACTTTGACCAAGCTGATGCAACCCCAGCTGCTGTGCTGTGAAAACTCTAGGTCCCAGTTACAGCACTGCAATAGTTCCTCCTGCTGAGGCTGGATTGCAGCACATTAATCCTGTTCCTGTGAGGGCGGAAGTAACCATGCCATTTCCCTGTCCACGTTTGGACTGGGTTGTCATAACCGTGGCCCGGGGCTGCCATCCGACTCATCTGTTAGAGTGCAAGTCCTATTGCTGCCATTTACCTCTTAAGTCTTAACAGTTTACCTCGTTTCTTTCACAGTGGACTTCGACCATTCGCGGGGGATAGGAGCCAGGCCGGACTGCGAACAGCGAAAATATGTGTATATTTAACACCAAATCAAACAAAAAAATTAAACCCACCAAATTCTTCAAAAAAAAACACAGATGAACATTCAATGTGTTTTCCAGGTAAAATGAGGGGAAAACAAATTCCCAAACAAATATACAAACAAAAATACAAAAAAAAAAAAAAGAAAAAAATGTGGATACAGTGTATTCCCCTCTGTTGTGGGTTTGAGGGTTGTGGTCTTGTTAAAAATTTGGTACAGTTATTAACTCTTCTGTCATCTATTCTGAATATAATTCTATCATAAGTCATTCATACGACTTTTCTTGAAAACTATTGATTGTCATTCTCTGCAATCCTTTTAAATGCTAAGAACGCTACGGCAGTAGGCTCATCTCATAATTTGCGTCTTTGGGCATGATATTGATGAATATTATAAGATGATAAGTTGATGGGGAAGTCAACCCAAAAATATTCTTTTCCATCATACAGTATGTTCTATGTGCCCCCACTGGTCTAAACATGGTATTCTGATTAAAATTCCCCTCGTGGGATATGAATTAAGCAGCAGCATTCACTTGTCCTTATCCATCCATTTTGTCACTTACTGTCGACTGAACATGACATCACAATTGCTCAAGTAATGAACAATCACGGCTCGCCTGTTCTGGTCATGTGATGTTCACAAGCTGAGCCACGACTGGTCGTTACCTGAGCCCTGAGGAACTGTGATGTAATTTTCTGTTGACAGTGTTAAGGAATTTATTCCTTACTGTGATTTTATTTAACCCCACTCTGTTGTTGGACCTGTTTAAACACTTGAAAGAAAGAATGCAGTATGCTGTTGGAGCTATTTACTGTATTTACTGCTCACTGTGATTACAATCACCTTAGTGCCCCTCGACCACCACCACTTTTAGGACTTCTCCAGAGGACATGTTTATCTCAAGTATCTGTGTTGCTGATGTGGAGGAATTTCGCCTTGCTATGAGTACGACTGATCCAAGTCTCTTTCCTGAACATCTGTTAAAACAAAGAATGTAGTGTTAAGTATATATCTTCTTCCCCTCTGAGTGATTAACAGCCCCCAAGTGTCTTCTTATAATAATAATAATACATTTTATTTGAAGCGCCTTTCACAACACCCAAGGACACTTTACAGACGAGCAAACAATAAGACAATTAAAAATAAATAAAACCACAGATAAAATTATAAATACAAGAGATATATTTAAGTGGAATAAGCCAGTCTGAAAAGGTGAGTTTTGAGCTGGGTTTTGAATGTGGGAAGAGAATCAATGTTGCGAATGTTGGGTGGAAGTGAGTTCCAGAGTTTGGGGGCAGAGCGGCTGAAGGCTCTGCACCCCATTGTGGTGAGACGGGCAGAGGGTACAGAGAGATGGAGGGAGGATGAAGACCTGAGTGAGCGGGAAGGGATAGAGATCTGAAGAAGATCTGATAGATAGGGGGGAGCAAGGTTATGGATAGCTTTGAATGTGTAAAGGAGTATTTTGAAGGTGATTCTTTGTTTAACGGGGAGCCAGTGGAGCTGTCGGAGGATGGGGGTGATGTGATGGAAGGAGGGGGTTCTCGTAATGATCCGGGCTGCTGAATTCTGAACAAGTTGAAGTTTATGGAGAAATTTGAGATGGACGCCGAAGAGAAGTGAATTGCAATAATCGATGCGGGAGGTGACGAGGCTGTGAACAAGAATAGCAGTCGTGTGAGGGGTCCCCCATCTCTGCTGAGTCCCTAAAGGCCCGTCTCCATGGAAATAAAGTGTAGATTTGAAGGCCACGTTAATTTGGACAACGGTGTGCGGTCATGGCATGCCAACAGAGGCGATTCTAGGGTCTGTTAAGGCCCCGAGCAGAAACTATCTTGGAGGGGGCCTCGAACCAGTTTTTGTCATCATTTTAATAAATAAAAAAATTGTGAACAGTATTTTTTTTTCACATCAACATACACTACCATACACACTCCTGGTAAGTACTTAGTAAGTTAGCACAATACAGAAAATCCAAGGCAATTCAATACAATACAACAGCAGTGTCAATTAACTTAAAACATACTCTTGATTTAAAAAACAAAACAAAACAAAACAAAAAAAAAACCTAAACCTAAGGCTAAGGTGTGTACAGTGAAAACAGACAAGCAGCATTTCGGCATCTCATTTATGTTGTAAATTTTTTTCCACTTACCACACTATCTTGCTTTATTCTCTTCCTCTTTTCTTCTTGTCTCACTTTCGGATGACTTTTCAATTATTTTGCACGATGTGCAGGTTATTAAATAGAAGGCACTTTCAAAATGCGAACGCCACGATACTCGGGTGCCTCCAGAAATTTTTCAAAAGCCTGGTCAGATGGGAACACTAATATTTAGCTCCTCTCCACAGTAATTTTCAATTATAGCGTGTGGGGATTTCTTCTATTCCGACGAAGGAAACTCAACTACCACTAAACATCAATTAAAAAGCATGAAATGATTCCCAGTATGTCATGATTTGTGATTTTACGGAAACACGTGAAACAAAATATACTTTTCTCCAGATGATGTTACTATCTAGGCTAGCCATCACTTTCATTGTTAACACCACCCAGTCATAATTTCACCTATTGGTCCAGGCGCAGTTGCCTTTGTTGAGTCCTGCCTGGCTTCTGGCCCTGTTATCGATGCTGGCTGTGTATCCTTCCCTGTCTTTTCCTCTACTCCCTCCCCCTTCTCCTTCCTCCTTACTAAGACTAAGACTCTGTCGCTCCCCCGTTGTCTCATTCTCTCCTGTTCTAATATTCTTCTTGAAATAAGAAGAGTTGTCTGTCGACTTTCTCTCATTGTCTGAAAATGACTGACATAACATATACCAAGCAGCAGGTTACGTTCACCACCGGTAAGTAACTCAGTTATACATGTCAAAAAGATGCTAGAACAGCACTACCTTAAAAGTGCACGTTACGACGCATAGTTATTTTCTAAAGAATATTTTGGCACATAGGCTGAGCCATTGCTGTGGAAGCGCACCAAAAGCACCCTGGATGAGAGACGGGCTGCTGTGAGTGAGAGAAGCTCGGCTTGCCTGGCTGGCTGCGGACATTTGGGATGATATGTACAACTGGTGCTACTATCATCTATATTTGGCCATTGGGCTGGTCAGTAAATTTATAGGAGGGGCCGGGGCCACGTCTGACCACCCCCTGGTGGTGCCATTGATTATACCACAGAAAGCCACTAGTCGTCGCGCAAAGACGTTAACTCGGAAAAAATCGAATTCATTGGAAACAGTGCTGCACCTTTTAAACTCTTTCTGACCTGATGACGTAATCCAAGTGGAAAGTCAAGGAGGCCAAGAAATATGTTTTCAAATCAAAAGGAAAGGTGCGGCTCCACACAAACAGAAATAAAACTGTAAACACCTTTCTATAATGTATTCGAGAAGGAGCGATTCCAAAGCCAATGAAAAGTATCAGTGATCCTTCACAAACACAACAATCAGTATCTACATCTTTTCCGTTGTATTATTAAGCTAATATTTTAAAGGTAACATCCGCAAGCTAGAGACTTACGTCAGCAATACTCGGATGATGACGTCAGTTCGGAAAAGGGGAATCGAATTCATTTAAAACATCGCTGTGCTTTTCTGTATTCCACAGGAAGCATCATTTCATCTCTCCTTGACCTGATGACATCATCCAACAAAGGTTGATGTGAGTTGGCATAAAGGTTAGGAAGATGAAGGCCAAAGTTATTTTTAGACTGCCGTGACAGTCCAGTGTATTTCTTCTTTGTATTTTTGGGGCATTCTGGATGCCTCGTGGCACCATTCTTTCGGCCCACGTAAGTTGACGTGGTTTAAATGAAGTAATTTCACCCTTATTATTGGATCAATTTAAAAAAAGCTTACCACGCCCTCCAACGATATTCATATTACATTTGATCAAAAATCTAAATTACAATAGAATGTGCTTACTTGATCGAGTATGAGAACATACGTTAAATTGTTAAAATGGGCAAAAGGACGAAAAGAGACCATGAGGCAAGTATACAGGCCATGCGATAAAATAAGACACTTTAGAAGGCGGATTAAACGAACGCTGTTAAGTCAGAAAGTTTTAGGCAGCTCACACTGAACTTGCTGTTAGTGCTCTTATTAGAAACTTATTCACACCACTGCTGGTACACTACTTAGCAGATTAATGCTAATTTAGATTGCGCAAAGGCATTCCCAGCAAGCTTTGTTGCTGTTCCAAATCACACGTGACTCTTTAGTGTGTTCTTTTTTTTACAGACAGGGTGTGGTAGCGGTGTTGCTTATAGCCACGTATTGACTGAATATTACATTTGGTATTTAATTGCTGTGACTTGCTGATACCTTTACTAATAAATGTAGTGCATTGATTCATCCATTTGCTTGTCTTTACAAGGATTTTGCATGTATTACAGGGCCTTTTTGTGGCCCGTAGTCCAGTGGTTAGCGTGTCGACCTCACAGTGCAGAGGTACCGGGTTCAATTCCTGTGTGGAGTTTGCATGTTCTGCCTGTTGAGGTTTTCTCCAGGTACTCCGGTTTCCTCCCACATTCCAAAAACATGCATGGCAGGCTGATTGAACATTCTAAATTGTCCCTTGGTGTGAGTGTGAGCGTGGATGGTTGTTCGTCTCTGTGTGCCCTGCGATTGGCTGGCAACCGGTTCAGGGTGTCCCCCGCCTACTGCCCGAAGACAGCTGGGATAGGCTCCAGCACCCTCCTTGACCCTTGTGAGGATAAGTGGATCAGAAAATGAATGAATGAATCAGAGATGAAAGTGGACTTTCCTGAAAATTCCGGGAAAAAAAAAAATGATATATACTGTGTGTGTGTGTGTGTGTGTGTGTGTGTGTGTGTGTGTGTGTGTGTGTGTGTGTGTGTGTGTGTGTGTGTGTGTGTTTATA